GGGACAGTCAGTGGGTCTCAGGGAGGACTGCTGTACCACTATCGCTGTTGGCCGTGTCCTGGCTGCTGCCGATGGTCTCCGTCAGGCTCTTGTCCCCAGTGTGACCCCCCCTCAGCGTGAGGGAGAGCTGCCTCTTGATCTTCCTCATGCGGTCCATCAGGGGGGGCAGGGGGGGGCGGGTGGAAGGGGCTGGGGGGGCAGCCACCGTCCTGTGTGCCTGCAAGGACAGACAGAGAGCTGTGAGCCTTCAGGCACACGCATGTACAGAGCAACACTTACGGCCTGTCCCACGCGGGCCCACACACAGACAACCCCGAGACAAACCGTGATGTGACCAGCACAGCGTGGACTCTGGAGTGAAGACAAACCACACAGCCATGGCATGAAATAGGCTGCAATCAAACCCAGGACCCCAGAGCAGTGAGTCAGCAGTGCTAACCAACAGTCCATGCCATCAGATGGCATTTTATGTAGTTAGATTTTCAAAAGATTTTAGATAAAATATCCTCATAAAATATTCTTCAATTTCAGGCAGCAGGCTTTCAGGGAAATGTGTGCTGCAACTGAGAAGTAGTTAATAGAGAACTCAGCATAAAGGTAATGGCTGGACAGTCAAACTGGGGTGATGCTATTAGTGGACCATCCCTGGGGTCTCGGCCAGGATCACTGCTCTTCCTACTTTCTGTAAGTGATCTAGATTCTATTGAAGTTTGCAGAGGATACCCAACGAGAAGGGCTAAACGCTGTCAAAGCAGCAAAGAAAATTCAAAAGGATAAAACCCCAGGCTGGCCAACACCTGGCAGATGACCTTTAATGATGACACCCATCGCTCCACTGTAAGGATGTATACAGGTGCTGCGTCTAAGAGAGGAACGGCAGGTGTGTGGGTTCATTTCCATTTGCTTTTGATGTTAAAGGACTCTAAGAGTTCAATCATTCTCCCACTGCAATAACAGGGTTTCATACTCAAGCAGCTCTGTGTCCAAACAGCATGTTGTGTGTTAAAATAATTGTTACCGTTTGTTGATTTTACTACAGATCTTTTGAGTTAATTTACAGGATTTGAATTATATCACAGCAGCTTCATCACACACAGACTCTTCCTAACCTGTCTTCAGTCTGAGCTGCTGCCTGGCAAGGAAGCTGTGTGAGAAGAGCATTGCTGCGCTGCTGCTTCCTGGTGTCCACTGTCACCTGACTGACCAGCAGGTGCTTTAATCCAACATGGACTCCTTTACAAGAGCCCCTGCTTATAAACCCCCCAGAGCTCTCTCCTTCTCTGCCTCTTGCCTCTCTCTCACTCTCCCCTTTGCCCATCACTCTCTTCTGTCCCCTCCTCCCCCGCACCCTCTTGCTCTCCTCTCGTCCGTTCCCCTCTCCCCTCTCCCCCCCCAGCGCCCCCCCACACCCCCGTCCCAGCGGAGTGCAGCTCCGCCGCAGGAATGTCTGTGTATCTTAGCGATGGGTCAACAAACACAGACAGGGAGCCTGACAGGGCAGCACTGCCGCTCACTGGGAGCGCTGGCAACCGAAAGGGAGAACGGATCTCGCCTGTTCCCAAACTGGGGAGCTGGGGAAGATACTGGGCATCCGCGGCGGCAGTTCGGGGGGAGCCGAGGCAGACCGAGCTGCAGCAGCTGTCTGATCGCGCTCACAGAGCGGCCTGTGCTGAGGATCTGTCACCACCGCGCCACTGCTCGGAATGTCAGTGGTTATTATTAACACCGATGGAAATAACTCCACCGGTCAACAGCGGCGCAGTCCATCTCAGGTTTTACAATTGTGGGCTCGGATACAAATTACAGTGGTGAAATAGTGATAATAATAATAAACTTTATTTTATATAGCGCCTTTAAAGGTGGCTTCTCAAAGCGCTTTACAGGATGACAATAACAATAAATAAGAAGACTACAACAATAAATAAGAAGACTACAACAATAAATAAGAAGATTTCACAAGATAGGAGACAATTATAATTACAACAATACAACAATAACAATAGAGGAGACCGTGG